TATGTATGTATGTATGTATGTATGTATGTATGTATGTATGTATGTAACATTTAATAGGCAAAGTTTGACAAAAATCTCAGTGCAGGTTCTATTTCAGTGAAATGACCTTATAAAACAACCAAGATTGGACTGTTAAATCCGAAAACGAATTTTGCGTTTCTTTACTAAACAGATCAATCCGAGATCACTCAGATCATGATGAATCAAAGGAACCGAAAAATCCTTGCCCAGAGTGAATTCTTCGGTTCCTTGATCGGAGAGATCTTGGATTAATCTGTTTAGAAAAGAAATACAAAATCCGCTTTCGGATTTAAGAATTCAATCTTGGATTTTCTTAAAGAAATGCACTTTTTTCCTTCAGAAGTACGAGAGTTCGAAAATCCAAGATGGTGGATCCAAGATGGCCACCACCAAAATAGTAAGTAGTTAATCCTGACGTCATCGCTGCTTGCCATGGTAACCAATCTAAGTTATACGACGAACGTCACCAAGAGCAAGCTTCGTGTAAAGTTTGGTCCCTGTACCTTGAATCTAAGAGCAAAGACATTCGCAAAACCTATTTTTGTATCTAATTAGCATAAATTAGCGTAAATTTAGTCCTTGAGGAGCCAGAAACATGGGAAGACGGAATCGGAAAATTTGAATCCCATCGGATTCTTATTATTCGACCCAAAATTAGTGAAAAATAGCAAAAAAATCAATTTCGGCACGAAAGTCCTACGGGAACGATTTTTCGGACATACCGGACCGCACTATTGCTCAAATAATGCAACTTCAAAACAAAACCTCTGACTACCAAATTGAACTCAAAACAACAAAACGAGAAGTTAGAGGAAAGATTTGTAAGCAATCTGAACCTTAACGGTATTCCTAAGGAAAGGAAAAAAAACGAAACAACCCTTAAAAATTTAAAAGCTTGCAAACGGAAACGGACTCACGTCGGTCGCAATGAATAACTCTGACGTCATGTACTAACTGTACTTAATGACCCTTGTGAGGCCGAAGCCAATAGATAGGGCGTCATTGGGAAGCCATTTAAAAACTCGCGTACCGCGTTTTATCAGGGCTTCGAAACACTGGAAAACAAAAGGAGCACTCAGCTAACTGACTTTTTGTACCATTTGCACACACGAAATACCAGTCTACAGAAGAGTTACCCCACCGTTGGATTCTCTAATAACCACATAGACACCTACATCTACAATCGTGGACAAGAGTCCTTGAGACGCTTATGTAATTTAACGAATTGTATGTGTTTTACTTCTGAAGTTTGAAAAAAGCGCTGCTTCCAGCTTTTCAAAACGCGTTACAGTTCCCCTCCCCACGTAATACAATGTTGAAAATCAGAGGAAATAGCAGGTAGTAGTTTTAAACATTG